TAGTCTAGTCTATAGTCTTATTAATAAACTCCAGCATACTAAATCAAAACTTCGTATCTCTAGTCTAGTATATAGTGTTGTCTATAGTCTACTCTATAGTATAGTCTAGTCTAGTCTATAGTCTAGTCTATAGTCTAGTCTATAGTCTAGTCTATAGTCTAGTCTATAGTCTAGTCTATAGTCTAGTCTATAGTCTAGTCTATAGTCTAGTCTATAGTCTAGTCTATAGTAGTCTATAGTCTAGTCTATAGTCTAGTCTATAGTCTAGTCTATAGTCTAGTCTATAGTCTAGTCTATAGTCTAGTCTATAGTCTAGTCTATAGTCTAGTCTATAGTCTAGTCTATAGTCTCTAGTCTATAGTCTAGTCTATAGTCTAGTCTATAGTCTAGTCTATAGTCTAGTCTATAGTCTAGTCTATAGTCTAGTCTATAGTCTAGTCTATAGTCTATCTAGTCTATAGTCTAGTCTATAGTCTAGTCTATAGTCTAGTCTATAGTCTAGTATATAGTCCAGTCTATAGTCTAGTCTATAGTCTAGTCTATAGTCTAGTCTATAGTCTAGTCTATAGTCTAGTCTATAGTCTAGTCTATAGTCTAGTCTATAGTCTATAGTCTAGTCTAGTCTATAGTCTAGTCTATAGTCTAGTCTATAGTCTAGTCTATAGTCTAGTCTATAGTCTAGTCTATAGTCTAGTCTATAGTCTTGTCTATAGTCTAGTCTATAGTCTAGTCTATAGTCTAGTCTATAGTCTAGTCTATAGTCTAGTCTATAGTCTAGTCTATAGTCTAGTCTATAGTCTAGTCTATAGTCTGTCTATAGTCTAGTCTATAGTCTAGTCTATAGTCTAGTCTATAGTCTAGTCTATAGTCTAGTCTATAGTCTAGTCTATAGTCTAGTCTATAGTCTAGTCTATAGTCTAGTCTATAGTCTAGTCTATAGTCTAGTCTATAGTCTAGTATAGTCTAGTCTATAGTCTAGTCTATAGTCTAGTCTATAGTCTAGTCTATAGTCTAGTCTATAGTCTAGTCTATAGTCTAGTCTATAGTCTAGTCTATAGTCTAGTCTATAGTCTAGTCTATAGTCTAGTCTATAGTCTAGTCTATAGTCTAGTCATAGTCTAGTCTAGTCTAGTCTATAGTCTAGTATAGTCTAGTCTATAGTCTAGTCTATAGTCTAGTCTAGTCGTCTATAGTCTAGTCTATAGTCTAGTCTATAGTCTAGTCTATAGTCTAGTCTATAGTCTAGTCTATAGTCTAGTCTATAGTCTAGTCTATAGTCTAGTCTATAGTCTAGTCTATAGTCTAGTCTATAGTCTAGTCTATAGTCTAGTCTATAGTCTAGTCTATAGTCTAGTCTATAGTCTAGTCTATAGTCTAGTCTATAGTCTAGTCTATAGTCTAGTCTATAGTAGTCTAGTCTATAGTCTAGTCTATAGTCTAGTCTATAGTCTAGTCTATAGTATAGTCTATAGTCTAGTCTATAGTCTAGTCTATAGTCTAGTCTATAGTCTAGTCTATAGTCTAGTCTATAGTCTAGTCTATAGTCTAGTCTATAGTCTAGTCTATAGTCTAGTCTATAGTCTAGTCTATAGTCTAGTTATAGTCTAGTCTATAGTCTAGTCTATAGTCTAGTCTATAGTCTAGTCTATAGTCTAGTCTATAGTCTAGTCTATAGTCTAGTCTATAGTCTAGTCTATAGTCTAGTCTATAGTCTAGTCTATAGTCTAGTCTATAGTCTAGTCTATAGTCTAGTCTATAGTCTAGTATAGTCTAGTCTATAGTCTAGTCTATAGTCTAGTCTATAGTCTAGTCTATAGTCTAGTCTATAGTCTAGTCTATAGTCTAGTCTATAGTCTAGTCTATAGTCTAGTCTATAGTCTAGTCTATAGTCTAGTCTATAGTCTAGTCTATAGTCTAGTCTATAGTCTAGTCTATAGTCTAGTCTATAGTCTAGTCTATAGTCTAGTCTATAGTCTAGTATATAGTCTAGTCTATAGTCTAGTCTATAGTCTAGTCTATAGTCTAGTCTATAGTCTAGTCTATAGTCTAGTCTATAGTCTAGTCTATAGTCTAGTCTATAGTCTAGTCTATAGTCAAGTCTATAGTCTAGTCTATAGTCTAGTCTATAGTCTAGTCTATAGTCTAGTCTATAGTCTAGTCTATAGTCTAGTCTATAGTCTAGTCTATAGTCTAGTCTATAGTCTAGTCTATAGTCTAGTCTATAGTCTAGTCTAGCCTAGTCTATAGCCTAGTCTATAGTCTAGTCTATAGTCTAGTCTATAGTCTAGTCTATAGTCTAGTCTATAGTCTAGTCTATAGTCTAGTCTATAGTCGAGTATAGTAGTCTATAGTCTAGTCTATAGTCTAGTCTATAGTCTAGTCTATAGTCTAGTCTATAGTCTAGTCTATAGTCTAGTCTATAGTCTAGTATAGTCTAGTCTATAGTCTAGTCTATAGTCTAGTCTATAGTCTAGTCTATAGTCTAGTCTATAGTCTAGTCTATAGTCTGGTCTATAGTCTAGTCTATAGTCTAGTCTATAGTCTAGTCTAGTCTAGTCTAGTCTATAGTCTAGTCTATAGTCTAGTCTATAGTCTAGTCTATAGTCTAGTCTATAGTCTAGTCTATAGTCTAGTCTATAGTCTAGTCTATAGTCTAGTCTATAGTCTAGTCTATAGTCTAGTCTATAGTCTAGTCTATAGTCTAGTCTATAGTCTAGTCTATAGTCTAGTCTATAGTCTAGTCTATAGTCTAATCTATATTCTATTCTACAGTCCAGTATTTAGCCTTTTCTATAGTCCAGTATATAATCCTATCATAAACTCCCGCTGAGTAAACCAAAACTTCTTATCTGGCATCTCCACTAGTGTCAAAAATATTCAAGTACAAGGGGAAGTTCAAAACAATAACAAAACTTAACGTAATGTTATTGTTATGATTAAGAAGATGATGATGACATAACAGTCAAACAAACACACATTTATAAAGTTTTTTGTGAGGGAAAAAACAAACAGTCAGTAATCATTATTTGTTAGGGGTGAGGGAAAGAAAATTAAAAGAACATGTGAATGATGTTTATTTTGAAAAGGGGTATTTAGGAGAAAGGGAGGGAGCAAATATAATGGGTAGTAAAAGTATTTAACAACAGACAGTGATACCAATCTAGTAATAATTAAATCGCTTAAATTTTAAAAGACTAAATGAATATCAGAAGTTATAACAGAAATGTTTTGTATTTTATTCTGAACTTTGTTAAATTACGCGAATTTTTAGGCAACTTTTGTTAATTTGTTTTTTTCTTTTGGTTGGAGAAAAAGCACTTCATTGATTTCTATGTTTAAAAAATAACCGGCAAAAATTTATAAAAGATCACATTAAATAAACTTTGGCGTATTGTACATTATATTTTTATAGAACTTGCTTTTATTCTCCTCTGTTCTCGTCTGTTGATTTTGAAGGTGCTAGAACGAGTATAACGTCAAAATGTAAATGTATGTAGTAGGTGTTTTGCGATTTTAAATTATGGACTTTGTTCTTAAACACACAAATTTATATTTGTTTATTTACTTTTGTTGCTATTTGCTGGCATGACTTTTTAATTTATTTTATTTCTACAGCTGCAAAAAAATGCGGAATCAATGATTAATGTAAAAAAGATGTGGGATCAGTCAGTCCATAGTCTTGAGTATAGATAAGACTATATATAGACTTCACTAAAGATCTGTATATAATTTGGACTATAGATCAATCAATAATATTGACTATAGTCTGGACTATAGATCAAGTTTATAGTCTGGACCATAGATTAGTCTATAGTCTGGACTATAGATCAGTCTATAGTCTGGACTAGAGATCAGTTTATAATCTGAACTATTGATCAGTCTTTAGTCTGGACTATAGATCAACCTATAGTCTTGGCTACAGACCACCAACCTATAGTCTTCACTACTTCACATTCTTTATTATAAAATTCAATTCGTGTTTGTTTAATAATTTGTCCTCATTATTTTCTTACTGCTGGAACTAAAAGTCATAAATTATTTATATATTAATTAAATGTTTTTTATTTGTTTAATTAAATTTAATTGCTTTATTCAGGTGAATACATTCAATTAAATTTTGTGTTTTTTTGTGCAAAATTACAAAGTAAAATGTATATTATTTACTAAGAACTTTGACCAGAAAATTTGAAATATAAATGTTTAAAAACTGGACTATAATTCAGTCTATAGTCTGGACTATAGATCATTCTATAGTCTGGGCTATAGATCATTCTATAGTCTGAACTATAGATCATTCTAGTCTGTACTATAGATCATGTTATATTCTGGACTATATATCATTCTATAGTCTGGATTATAGATCATTCTATAGTCTGGGCTATAGATCATTCTATAGTCTGGACTATAGATCATTCTATAGTCTGGACTATAAATCATTCTATAGTCTGGACTCTAGATCATTCTATAGTCTGGACTCTAGATCATTCTATAGTCTGGACTATAGATTATTATATAGTCTGGACTATAGACCATTCTAGAGTCTGGACTATAGATCATTCTAGAGTCTAGACTATAGATCATACTAGAGTCTGGACTATAGATCATCCTATAGTCTTGACTTGAGTTCAGTATATAGTCTTGACTACATATCAATTTATAGACTAATCTATTCAAATCAGTCTATTATTTATTTGTTTTTATAAAGAGTATAATGAACTTATTATTTTCTTACTGCTGGATCTAATAGTCATAAATTATCTATTAAATGTCTAGCTTTAATCGAATATTTTGTTTACAAAATAAATCTATAATTAGCTAAGAACTTTGACCAGAAAATTAATAAGTAAACAATAACATAATTAAAAAAATGACACATTGTAAAGATCATAAAATTTAATTATAGTCTACTACATTTGAACAACAAAATAGGTATTAGGGAATATCTTTTTAAACATTAGAATTATTTCAAAATACAAATGTTTCTCTATTTTTATTTTCAGGCTAAACTGATCTCAAATTATAATTACCCTGTCGAGGAGCATACAGTACACACCCCTGATGATTATATCCTAACCATTTATCGTATACCCGATTCACCGAAATTAAAACATCACAATAATACGGTCAAACCGGTGGTATTTCTACAACATGGTATTTTATGTGCCTCAGATGATTGGATTATTAATGGTCCCGAAACTTCTCTAGCCTACATGTTTGCCGATCAAGGCTATGATGTTTGGCTAGGTAATGCCCGCGGCAATACCTACTCGCGCCAACACAAGCACAAACATCCCGATTCTTCGGATTTCTGGAATTTTAGTTGGCATGAAATTGGTGTTTACGATTTAGCCGCCATGTTGGATTATGTTCTGGAGGAAACGCAACAACCCTCATTGCATTTTGTGGCTCATTCTCAGGGTACCACCACCTTCTTTGTGCTAATGTCTTCCCTACCTTGGTATAATGAAAAAGTCCGAACTGTACATTTGCTAGCTCCTATAGCTTTCATGAGAAATCATTCGTTTTTGCTATCGAAAGTGGGGCGTTTATTTTTGGGTTATCCCTCGTTTATGAGCATGATTTTGAGTGGTTTTGAGCTGTTGCCTACGACAAGTATACAGAAATTATTCTGCGAATACGTTTGTTCGCATGATTCGCTGAAGTTTTTATGTTCGGGAATTTTGGACTTTATTGGCGGTTGGGGTACAAAGCAATTAAATCATGTAAGTACATTTTGGGGCATTTTTTTAGTAACATCTTAAGTCTAATGTCCTTAGACCGGGATATAGTCTTATTCATCAACTAATATATAGCCGGGACTTTGGACTGGACTATAGTCTAGTCTATAGCCTGAACTATTGTATAGTCTACAGTCTGGACTATAGTCTAGTGTATGGTCTGTACTATAGTCTAGTATTTAGCCTGGACTATAGTCTAGTCTGGACTATTGCCTAATCTATAGTCTAGTCTATAGTCTGGACTATTGTCTAGGCTATAATCTAGTCTATAGTGTAGTCTATAGTCTGGACTATTGTCTAGTCTATTGACTGGACTAAAGTTTAGTCTATAGTCTGGACTGTAGTCTAGCATTTAGTCTGAACAATAGTCTAGTCCATAGTCTGGACTATAATCTTGTTAATAATCTGTTCTGTAGTCTGGACCATAGTCTAGTTAATAGTCTGGACTGTAGTCTGGACTATAGCCTGGACTGTAGTCTGGACTATAGTCCTGTCTATAGTCTGGAATATAGTCCTGTCTATAGTCTGGACTATGATCTAGTTTATAGTCTAGTCTGGACTATAGCCTATTCTCAAACTAATCTCCTCTTCATTTTTCCTCTTCTTTCAGACGCTTTTGCCTCATGTTTGTGAAACCCATCCCGCCGGTGCCTCCACCACACAAATCATACACTATCTACAGCTCTACACTTCCGGAGATTTCAAACAATTCGATCATGGCATCGATATAAATCTCAAGAAATACAATCAAGAGACCCCACCCCACTATGAAGTGGGCAATATCAAAAGTTGTGTTAATATGTATTACAGCAACAATGATTACATGTCAGCAGTGGCAGATGTTGAATACTTGGCCACACTATTACCCTGTGTGGAATTGTATCGTATGCCCTATGATGATTGGAATCATTATGATTTCCTATGGTCCGTAAATGTTAAAGAAGTCATAAATGATCGGATAATAGAGAAAATAGAAGCATACGAACAGTCTCATAGTCATGGGCAATTTTATAGTTTTCTTGGACTTACCGAGAAAAAATTTAAAATTTAGCTGAAGTTGTAGCGAAAAGAAAAGTGTAAATATGTATTTTCTTGTTGTAGATAGTAATGGTATTTAAGACTTTTTTTTGATGAAAGAAAAAACAAGACGAAAAACGAACAGAATTATTTTAAACGTTTTAACAAAGAACAAAGTGATACTATTTAATAGGTTTTTAAATTAATAATTAAGATTTTAAAATTGTTAAGTTAGAAAAAAACGCTTTTTTTTACTTTTAGTATTAAGTTTAAGACACACAAACGATGTAAATGAACATTAATGAAATTAATGCAAATGAAATAAATATTATTATTAAGTTTTCTTTTGTAAAAATTAAAAAATAATAAAAAATTGTAAAATTATTTAAAATAATTAAAAAGAGTTTTCTTTGATAAACAAGTTTTTAAAAAAAATTTACTAAAAATCTATAGTCTACAGTCTAGTCTATAGTATATTCTGTAGTATAATCTATAGTCTATTCTATCGTCTAATCTATAATCTAGTCTATAATCTAGTCTATAGTCTAGTCTATAATCTAGTCTATAGTCTAGTCTATAGTCTAGTCTATAGTCTAGTCTATAGTCTAGTCTATAGTCTAGTCTATAGTCTAGTCTATAGTCTAGTCTATAGTCTAGTCTATAGTCTAGTCTATAGTCTAGTCTATAGTCTAGTCTATAGTCTAGTCTATAGTCTAGTCTATAGTCTAGTCTAGTCTAGTCTAGTCTATAGTCTAGTCTATAGTCTAGTCTATAGTCTAGTCTATATTCTAGTCTATAGTCTAGTCTATAGTCTAGTCTATAGTCTAGTCTATAGTCTAGTCTATAGTCTAGTCTATAGTCTAGTCTATAGTCTAGTCTATAGTCTAGTCTATAGTCTAGTATAGTCTAGTCTAAAGTCTAGTCTATAGTCTAGTCTATAGTCTAGTCTATAGTCTAGTCTATAGTCTAGTCTATAGTCTAGTCTATAGTCTAGTCTATAGTCTAGTCTATAGTCTAGTCTATAGTCTAGTCTATAGTCTAGTCTATAGTCTAGTCTATAGTCTAGTCTATAGTCTAGTCTATAGTCTAGTCTATAGTCTAGTCTATAGTCTAGTCTATAGTCTAGTCTATAGTCTAGTCTATAGTCTAGTCTATAGTCTAGTCTATAGTCTAGTCTATAGTCTAGTCTATAGTCTAGTCTATAGTCTAGTCTATAGTCTAGTCTATAGACTAGTCTATAGTCTAGTCTATAGTCTAGTCTATAGTCTTGTCTATAGTCTAGTCTATAGTCTAGTCTATAGTCTAGTCTATAGTCTAGTCTATAGTCTAGTCTATAGTCTAGTCTATAGTCTAGTCTAGTAGTCTATAGTCTAGTCTATAGTCTAGTCTATAGTCTAGTCTATAGTCTAGTCTATAGTCTAGTCTATAGTCTAGTCTATAGTCTAGTCTATAGTCTAGTCTATAGTCTAGTCTATAGTCTAGTCTATAGTCTAGTCTATAGTCTAGTCTATAGTCTAGTCTATAGTCTAGTCTATAGTCTAGTCTATAGTCTAGTCTATAGTCTAGTCTATAGTCTAGTCTATAGTCTAGTCTATAGTCTAGTCTATAGTCTAGTCTATAGTCTAGTCTATAGTCTAGTCTATAGTCTAGTCTATAGTCTATATAGTCTAGTCTATAGTCTAGTCTATAGTCTAGTCTATAGTCTAGTCTATAGTCTAGTCTATAGTCTAGTCTATAGTCTAGTCTATAGTCTAGTCTATAGTCTAGTCTATAGTCTAGTCTATAGTCTAGTCTATAGTCTAGTCTAGTCTATAGTCTAGTCTATAGTCTAGTCTATAGTCTAGTCTATAGTCTAGTCTATAGTCTAGTCTATAGTCTAGTCTATAGTCTAGTCTATAGTCTAGTCTATAGTCTAGTCTATAGTCTAGTCTAGGTCTATAGTCTAGTATAGGTCTAGTCATATAGTCTAGTCTATAGTCTAGTCTATAGTCTAGTCTATAGTCTAGTCTATAGTCTAGTCTATCGTCTAGTCTATAGTCTAGTCTATAGTCTAGTCTATAGTCTAGTCTATAGTCTTAGTCTATAGTCTAGTCTAGTAGTCTAGTGTCTATAGTTAGTTTAGTCTATAGTCCTAACTTCCCATATAAATTTCATACAAACTTCCAACTTCCATTTAAATTCATTCAAAATTAACGGATATTTTCTTTACACATTCCTTCAACCATACAGCGCCCTCTATATGTGAATAAAAAAACAAACGTTTACCAACACTAGACTTCAATCATAAACAAATCCCTTTCTCTCTCTCTCTTGAACACTTCTCCTTTGAAAAACAAATATGGCAACTCTTCTAGCACATGCAGTGTGAGAAAAATTTTACATACTAACAGCAGCCATATTTAATAGAGTATACAACGCCATAATAGACGTGTCGATTTTTCAAGGTGTATATACACCACAGAAAGAGAATAAAGAAGCAAAAAAAGAAATATTTGTTCATCAAAAGAAAATTAATTTTACCAGAAATTTTTTAATGTGTAAAAATTAAAATCAACACAAAAAGCGAAAAAAAAAGTAAAAAACTATAAACACAAACAAATGAGAAAAACTACAGCAACAGAAATAAGAAAAATTTACAATTAAAATACAAACGAAAAAAAGTAGTTGCAAAAAAAAATGTGATAATTACGAAAAACTAAAGAAAAGCCACAAAGAGCAAGAAAATTTATAGAAAGAATATTTTGTTAATAGAAAGAAAAAAACGTTTACCCTGTTTTTACAGCCAAACAAGCAAGCCAGTTGTTAGTTTTAAGGTTATTTTTGTTAAAATGGGTGAGTTTTGTTAGTATTTTACAATTTTCTTTTAAATTTATTTACATTTATACACTTTATCACTAGTTTTAATAAAATTTTTGTTAGTACGCTTGTTAAGCTTAAGCTTCTTGTTAGTGGTGGTGTTCATTACTGTTGTTTCCCACTTTTTTTCGTTGATTTGTAAACAAGTGTCAAAATACAGCCGCTATGTCAGGGATGGATAAGTGCTTATAATATAAAATGAAATGTTAACCTTTAAAAGAATTTTGAAACCTTTTCTGATGCAAATCTGTCAAAAAAAACCGAGATTTTAATTTACTTTTCTCAACAATTTCCAGCGGAAGCCGTTTGCCTCTACCTCCACAGCAGCTGCTACCCAAGACATGCTGGTCAAACTATCCACAGATGGGGTGCCCAAACTTTTCTGTCCCGTTTGCAATAAAGCTCTCGTCTCTCTAGCCGGCTATGTGAAGCACGTCAAAAAACATGAACCCCCTGGCGGCTTTATATGCCGCTACTGCGAAGCCCGTTTCTGCTCCGATGAAGAGCTAAAAAGCATCGTGAATCTGAACATACCACTATAGCATGTCGCCTATGCAAGACAGCCACTTTTACCAATGAGGACGACTATCGAGCTCACATACGCGACATACATCAGGGTGTTGATCGCGAAATATTTAAATGTGAAAAATGTGGAGCCGCCTATAAGACTATCGATCCCTATCGTCGTCACATGGAGACAGAGTGTGGCCGTATTAAACCCTATAAATGTGATAAATGTCCCATGGCTTTTGTAACGAAATATAATTTAAAACAACATTTGGATAATCACTCGGGAGAATTGAAATTTTGTTGCAGTTATTGTGGCAGGAATTTTAAGCAGAAGGCCAGATTGGTGGAGCATGAGAGGACACATACGGGAGAGAAGCCGTATACTTGCGATGTAAGTACAAAGATTAAGAAGAAGCAGTTTTTCATTTCCCTGAAAAATTAAAAATTTATCAAAAATAATCAAAATTTAACTTTTAATTCGCTGAAAACAGTAATGCGAATTTTCGCTAGAAGTTCGAATTTTCACCAAATATTCAAAATTTCACTAGAAATATGAAATTTCGCTAAAAATTTTAAATATTATTAGAAATTCGAAATTTCACTACAATTTAAAAATTTAATTGGAAATTTCACTAATTCGATATTTCACTAAGAATTCGAAATTTCTCTACAAATTTGAAATATCTCTGGGAATTCGAAATTTCACTTGTAATTCGTTATTTCACTAAAATTAAAAATTTCAATAGAAATTCGTTATTTCACTAGAAATTCAAAATTTCACTGGAAATTTAAAATTACACTAGAAATTCAAAATTTCACCAAAAAATCCGAATATCACTAAAATATCAAAATTTTACTAGAAAAGCAAAATTTCACTAGAAATTCAAAATTTCACTAGAAATTCAAAATTTCACTAGAAATTAAACATTTTACTAAAAATTTGAATTTCACCTTAAATTCACATAAAAATTAAAAGTTTTCACTAAAATTTCGAAATTTTTAATTAAAAATTTTTATTTTATTAAAATTTTTAAACTTTTCCTTTCAATTTCCCTCCCAGGTTTGTGGCAAAAGTTTTTCGCATCGCGAAAGTATTGTAACACATTCTTCCATTCATACCGGAATACGTTTGGTAGAGTGTCGCGGTTGCAGTTCAAGATTTTCATGTTATTCCAATCTCATCAAACATCGCCGCAATCGCCCGGATACTTGTGGTTTACCCGAATTCGATCCACCCAGAAATCGTATTAGAAAACATACTTCCAGAAGTAAGTTGCGCAAAAAAACACTCATTACATTCTAAAACAAACAATAATCATATTTTGCATTTATCCAGTTCCAGCCACCTTAAATCCCACTTCGGAAATCAAAGTGGTAAATGTTAATAAAATTATTAAACCCGATGATCAGGTCAAAGTTCAAGCCCTAAAAAAGGAAACACCCAATAAACCCACCAGCAGTAAGCCACCGAAAATAAAACCTACCGCACGTAAACGTACTGGACTTGGACCATCGCCATCAACAACAGCACCAACTTTACGTAAGCGTACACCACGGAAAAAGGCCATTAGTTTGGAGGTAGTCGATACTAAAGAGGATGCTGATGACTTCAAGGTAGAGGAACTTGAAGATGAAGACATGGATGATGATGATGAGGATTATCTACCA